TCTAGATTATCAGAGAAGCGCGACCGGTGTTACGAGTCCTGATTGGACACGCAAATGGCCAATCATAAGATTGATTTATCGCTATTATAAATGGCTGTCGAATAAATCAAACTTATGATTGGCCATTCGACGCCATTTTTAATATTTTCTAGTACTTTTGCGATATTGCCATAAGCCGGTCGCGCTTCTCTGATAATCTAGGACTCTACTCCTCGGCCGCGATCTCGGGAATTTCGACTGCCTCCGTGTGTTCCGCCATCCATTGTTGTACTATTCTCAGCGCCTTTTCTGCTCTGGCCTAGAGTCCTAGATTATCAGAGAAGCGCGACCGGTGTTACGAGTCCTGATTGGACTCGCAAATGGCCAATCATAAGATTGATTTATCGCTATTATAAATGGCTGCCGAATAAATCAATCTTATGATTGGCCATTCGACGCCATTTTTAATATTTTCTAGTACTTTTGCGATACTGCCATAAGCCGGTCGCGCTTCTCTGATAATCTAGGACTCTACTCTGGCCGAAGGAGGTTCAGCCATCGATAATTGCGCCGTGGACGTCTGCGCCAATGTAGACGGACACAATCTCACTGGTCAAAACCTTTGCCGGTGTTGCGAAAAACGCCGGGACGGCCGCTCTCCATAGTCCATGCTTCTCTCTACTCTGGCATAGCCATAGACTTATAAGATAGACTGCGCGCCCTATTGTTCTCGGTGAGGCAGAAGCTAGAGTGAGAGGGCTACACTCCACACTTCTCTTGTCCTTGTTCAATCGTTGGTGGGGAGAAGAAAAGAGGGGTGACCCGCGCCCTTTGAGTATATAGATACCTGGAGGTGGAATGCCTTTGTTCTCTGCAGGCCGCAAGCGAGTCCAAGAGTGGTAAGGAGTGCGAGAGAGACAGGTATACGAGCGATACCACGTGATACTTCGTCCTCTCTGTCTGTTTAATGATCGACGCATGCGCAGAGAGGACGAACATTACTCGTCTACCTTTCTCTCTCGCACACATCTTGGACACAGCTTTCGAGCCAACATTCCCCCTCCATGTCTATATACTCAAAGCCCGCGCCACGCCGGCCGCCGTCAGCCGTGCCGGACAAGGACAAAAGAAGTGTGGAGTGTAGCCCTCTCAGCTTCTGCCTCACCGAGAACCATGGAGGACTGGAGAGAGCATATCGATGGTGGGGGTAAGAAATTTGTAATCGGAAATGACATCACCAGTCAACCATCTAACGCACTGTTTAACCGCAAACGGCGCTATAGTAGAAGCTTTTGATTGGCTTTTGATGTTGATCGAGCATGGAACTATGGAAGACTATTTA